TGGGGCTGGAAAAGCAGGCGAGCTCGGGGGGGGAATAGGACCTGCAGCAGCTCTGGGGTCTTCTCTTATCCAAGACCAGGCCCAGGCTTTGCACATGTGGCTTCAGCATCCCCCAGGGACGTGGCAGGGATGGCCGTGGCGTGAGGTCTCACTGTGTTCGTGCTGAAGAGCCCCTGCAGAGTGAGGACGGGGCTGGCGTTGCGTGTGTGCATGCAGGGCTGGCGGCACATGGTGTCCTGGGGTGGGGAGCAGCACCCTGGGGCCGTCACAGTGGTGCGGGGGGGGCTGGCTCCCAGCAGGGCACGAGGCTGGCTTCCCAGCCATTTCCAAAATCCAGGCTCCAAAGCAGCATCTGGAGAAACTGTTGGTGCTTGCTGTGAGCTCTCCTTTAGGACAAGTTCCGAGGATGCTTCCCAGGCCTTTCCTATAGCAGGAAAAAGCGTTTCAGCAGTTGATAAACTTCCCAGATGCTTTTTATTTATTTTGTTTTATTTTTGAACAGCTCAGCGCAGGCAGGCTGGGTTTAACCGTCCAGAGTTGGCAGGAACAGCACATACTTCTCGGGGAGAGCTGCTCTTCAGCCCTGAGTATTTGCTGCAGTTCAGCTGTATTAGGGGGAGTCCCCACCCAAAAAGTGGCACCCCACAAAGGCCAGGTGGCCTTTGGCCAGCCCAGTCCCCACTGGGTCCCCTTCACTGTCCTGCAGAGCAAGAACCACCAGATTTTTGCTTGCAAAGGGTCTTCCTAAGGGGGTGCTGGGCTTGGGGGTGGGTGGGTGCAAATGCTCTCCTGGCATCGCCCCAGGCTGGCTGTTTTCTCCCCAAAAGCTTGAGTGGGGATGCTGAGGAGCAGCAGCCGTAACACCCGCTGTTTTCCCCCAGCCAGGACCCTGCCACCCTGTCCCGCTTCAGCATCACGGACCTTCTCCCAGACCTGCAGCACATCCTCTTCTGGATGGCCAACGCCATCGAGGTCCTCTACTTCATCCAGCAGAAATCACCCACCTACATCCAGAGCATGGAGGAGGAGCTGGACGTCAGAGGTAGGGCTGGATGCAGCGCCCTGCTTGCTTCTGCGGCCGCAGCGACTTTGCTCTGCTAATCCCCAGATGCACGGGTGGTCAGTGCCCCCAGGAAGCTCCTTTAGCCCCCCCGTAATCCTCATCAGCAGGGATGTCTCCGTGCTGCAGGCTGGGGTAATCTGCGCGGGAGGAGCAGCCTTGCATCGTGCCGTGGTGCTGCTTGGCTTCGGGGCCAGGTTGTGTTGCGTTCGCAGCCGAGCTGAGCCTTTCCGCCACGGCAGCACGCAGTTAATGCCTCGGGGGTGGCTTTCTGCCCCCCGGCTGCTGCCAGGGCACCTGGATTTGCAGGTAGCCCTGCAGAATTGCTCACCGGTGAACCCGTGTTAATGCCAGCAAAAAAAAAAAAAGAAAGGAAAAAAAGGAAAAAGGGATTACATCAGCCTCAGAAACCTTCTGGTCTATGCAGCAAGTTAACATGTTCGTGGGCCAGACGGGCTGTTGGATGGAGGGGTGCAGCCCTGGGCTGCCCGCGGGCAGAGGCCACCGTGCTGCAGCGCCGGGCTGTGCTGCCAGCAGCGTTGAGCCATGGGCGACGGCAGGCGGGCGCTCTCTGGGGCAAGAGGAGCCTCTTTGCCCCTGTTGAGGGATGCCGTGGTGGTGATGCCAGCCCGGGAGTATTAATAACCCCCACCCCGGGAATTTGGGGAGCGGTGAATTCCCCTCACCTTGCTGCTGCGGGTTTGCCTCCCCATCCTCCTCTCTGCCTTGTAGGCTCCAAGGAGTCTCTGTTCTCCTCGACCATCCCAGCCAGCGAGGAGGCGATGACGGTGCTGGAGGAGGTGATCATGTACACCTTCCAGCAGTGTGTCTACTACATCTCCAAGGTACATGCTCCCTGGGGAGGGCGGCCGCGTCCCACGGGGCCAGCACGAGCATCCCCAGCAGCTCTCAGGCTGCGCAGGAGGGTTTTTTAAAGCTTTTACTCTTTGGCAGTTGCATCACGCCGAGGTGTTTTCCTTTGGGCTGAAGTGCCCCGATTTTTGGTCGCGGACCAGGAGAAGTATTGAATTACTGTGGCATGTTTCCCTGCCTGCAGTGCAGTGGCTTGGGAGAGGCGTTTGGGGAGAGCTGCCTGGCTCCGGCCGGCGCAGCATAATGGTGCGATTCAGGGCGCGATGGAAAGGGGCCCCTGGACCGTTGCCGTTGGACCGCGAGAGCCGGGCGGCATCGGGAGCGGGGAACAGAGCGGGCAGTGTGAGGCAGGAGAAAGGCAAAAAAAACCTGGCCGCTGGCGTCGGCGCATGGGGACCAGGGGTTGCTCCTGTGCCGCTCTGCCGGAGCAGCACCCTCCTCCCAGCACCTTCACCTCTCCCTTAGCCTCAGCAGAGGTGGGTGCTAGGTGCTGCTCTCCTATTTAAGCAATAGGGAGAAGTCATCCCCATTGGTCCTGGTTTTTCTTTCACCCTCGTGTCCAGCTGATCAGCCACTGCCCTGGTTCAGATCAGTTTTCAGATCCCTTTAGCTGAGCTATCCCATGCTGTCACCTCCAACTGCTGAAAGCACGACACACGTTCATTTTTATTTTTTTTTTTTAAACACTTGCGCAACAACCGGAGTGCATCGAGGCGGGGGGGGAAG